TTCCCCCATCACCCCTCATCCCCCACATTTCCCTTCTAATGTTTACTCATATTTTGAGCTCAAGTGTCACCTCCTCTAGGAAGTCTTCCTTGATACCTCTTCTCATCACCAGTACCATCACACCCACCCACACCTGCACCAGTGTGATTACAATGGACTTTTTCTGAATTTGTCTTCCCTGCCAGCCTCGAAGCTGCTGAGGGCAGATACCAGCTTCTACATGTATTTTATATGAGTGTGGATAGATTTTCAAGGAAGGAGGGACAGAGGAAAGATTCTTGAAGGATAGACTGTTGAATCATTTGGCTTTTAAATTTAATTTAATTTTTGGCTGCAAATTTGTAACAATCTGGCTTAATCTACAGTTGAGTGGGTTTAACAGAGTAGGAGGTTGGCTCCTACAGAATATTTTCCAATTAAAATCACAGGAAAAAAAGCTTTGAGCATAGTAATAATAATAATAATAATAATAATAATAATAATAATAATAACAACAACAACAATAATAACAGCAAGAATGGCTTGCATCTGCATCCACCTCTGTTCCCAGCCAGGACCCTGCAGGCTGGAGTGGAGGGAGCGGTGCGGGATGAGCACTGAGGCGCCGGGATGAGCACCAGCGGTGTCCAAGCGAGTGCACTGTTGTCTGAGCAAATGCCCCTAACAGCCCCGTGGAGATGGAGCAGCTGAGCTTCCCCTGATGCAGAGACAGGATTCCATCTGGGGCTGGGTATCCCTGAAGCTCCTGCCCTCCTCGCTGCAAGCAGGCTGGGAGGAATGGCAGCCTGCAGCCCTGGGGAGAGCACGTGGGGAGAAGAGCCAATGGCATTTCCAGGGCATCCAGTCAGGCCTGGGTCACAGGCTGAGGCTCTCCGCCAGTGCAAGCCAGCGCATGGGAACCCGGGCTTTCCTCCCAGTTGTGGTTGATCTGTGCGCTCCCAGGTGCCAGAGCCACAGCCCACTAGATTGCCTCTTGTTCCTGAGGGGGAAACTGAGGTCCATTGTGGGGAGGGTAGTGTGGCTGACAGCCTGCTGAGTCTGTGCTCAAGCTGGGTTGAGACGACAGGTGTCCTGCAGCCAGGGCCCCTGTGACACCATGCTGCCCCTCAGTTGACATTTCCTTTCAGTTCAAGGGGATTATGCAAATCCAGGGGGGTTAAGCTGCCACCAGGCACTATGGAAACCAGGCTCTGCGCTCCGTCTGCCCCCTCCTTCCAGCCAAGCAGTAATGACACCTGGGCCGACTTTTCTGGCAAGACCTGTTACGCTGAATCTCAGAGCATGTGCACAATTTAATTTGAACCCCGGGCAGGCAGAGGGGAGGGGGCAGACTGATTACCAGAACAAATTTCAGAGCCAAGGCGGATGTCTTTCCCCAAGAACCGGGCCAGCTGCAGGTTGGGGGCTGTTCCAGGTCTGTGTGTGTCAAAATGTCTATTTAAAAAAATGTTATCTGCATACTTCAGAAAATTTACATGATGCCTGACTGCAGCTTCTACACATTTCTTATCAACTAGCTCTTTACTTCTCTATTTTTTATTTTAATTGGTTCACTAATTAATCTGAATAAACAACATGGACAGTTGACCCTTGGACAACATGGTTTGAATTTCGAGAGTCCACTTACACTTAGATTTTTCCCCTTAAATACATACAATACTACATGAATCCCTGGATGTACAATTGCGGATACAGAGGCTCGACTGTGGGTTATTCTCGCATTTTTAACTATGTGGAGGGTCCGGGCCCCTCACCCCTAAATTGTTCAAGGGGCAACTGTATATGGCACCCTTTTCCAAAGGTGAAAAAGGTGAAAAGTCTTCTTTCTGCCTGTTTCCCAGTCATTTCATTTCTCTCCCTGTAGAGAACGCTACCGCTTGGGGTGTGTCTTTCCAAATACTCGATGTGTATACATTTATGTACACATATCCTGTCTTTATCTATAAAATTTGTCACTGTATTATGCACACTGTTTTCCCTTAGCAGTGTATCTTGGCCTGTTTCAGCGCTAACATTCCATTATGTGGATGGACTGTCATTTCTTTAACTGCTGATGGACAGTCGGGTTCCAGTCTTCCACGGCTCCTCACGGTGCCTCGGTGAGCGTTCATCTCTGCGTCCTCCCACCCACGTGAAAGCACACCTCAGCTGCGGTGTTCAGTATAGTAGCCACCAGCCGCATGTTGGATTTATATCTCAATTAATTGAAATTAAATAAAACTGAACTCTCAGCTCCTCTGTTAAGCAAGCCACGTCGCAGGTGCTCAAGAGTCCCGTGGGGCTACTGGCTGCTGGGCTGGCAGTGTGGCTACAGGGCACTGACGTAGAGCGGGGAGTCTCCGAGCAGGGACAGCACTGCTCCGTCTGGTAAATTCCTAGGAGGGAGTTGGGAAGCTCAAGGTCTGTCCATCTTAGGTGTTCACCGACGCGGCCAGATCTCCCTCTGACGAGGCTCTGGCTATTTATATCTGCACCTCCCATCCCAATAAGAGCTCAGAGAGGGAGAGCACTTTTATTTCAGAACAATTTATGGAATATTGGGGGAAAAAAGTTTCCCTGCCTACTGATTGCAGGGACTTTGTTTTTGATGTCAGTGCCCAAGTGGCTGGCGTCAGACACTGCTGTTCCCAACTTAGACCAGGCGCCTGACATAGGGGGCCCCACACCGCTGTCTCCCTCTGAGCCCTGGCCTTCTGCCACCGCCATGCTAAGGTCTGCTCCCCTCCAGCTCCAGGCCTCTCCCCTCCCCTCTCCCTCAGGTCCAGGGTTCCTATACACCCTGACTCATGGCCGCCATCTCCTCATACATGCCCCGTGGCCATGACACAGCTTCTACCAGAAGACTTGGCGCCTCTGTGGAATCTTCCCCCTCTTCCCCTTTGGTGAATCATGACCTTCACGTTGCCAAATCCATGGGTGTTGCCCAGTCCTCACCTTGCTCGAACTCCTACCCGGCCGCTCAGCCGCAGTCTGCACCTTGGCTGTCCCCTCCCTCCTGAAGTGCTCAGCCCTTTGGCTTCTGAGATGCCGCACCTGCTGTCTCCCTGATTGCTCCATCCCTGCCTCCTTGCAGCCTCGTCCTTCTCGCAGGATACAACACCGGGTCTGCTTTTCCCTGTTCTCTGCTTTTTTCCTGGGAGATCTTGTCACCATTGTGGCTTGGATTAGCACCACTTGGGGAATGATGGTCATGCGTTTTAATTAGCATTTCCTTGATTACTAGTAAGACTGAGCATCTTCCCATGGGTTCTGACCTTCAGTATCCTTTATGAAAGCAGGTTAGAGGCAGAGCAGACACTGGACACAGGTTCCAAACCAGACATGACCATGGCGGCGCTCTGTCTTCACCCCCTCCAGGCACTCCCCAGCCTCTTCTGTCCCCACACCCTCTCAGCATCTCCAGTCACCACACCGGGCACCCCTGCCCCAACCTGCAGCCTGTGTTCTTCTCCAGGACTCTTGTCAGCCTGCCCTTTCCTCTGTGGTCCCTAGGGCTCAGTTCATTACCATCATTCTCCCCGTTCCTCCCAACTCTGCACATCTCACCCCCACGTGGCCCGGGATGGGAATCAGAGTGTTGCCAACGCCTCCTCCCTTCTGGGACATCATTCTGCCATCTCCTCCCAACGGTCCTTGTCTTCTGTTCGTGCATCTGTTACCCACCTCTTCCTAAGCCCCTGTACTCCTTCCTGCGCTCTGGCTGCTCCGTGCTGCTTGCGGACTCTCACTCTCAGACTTCTTCTCTATCCCCGGCCCTGATGCCTACTATGGCGCTTCAGCACAGAGGCTGACAACTTTCTTTGTCCACCTCTTGTAGTTTGTCCACCTCAGTGACTCTATTCTCACTCTCTTTTTGATGCCTACGTACGCAACTTCACTGCCGGTAAATAAGCTAGCTCTAACATCTCTTTAACTCTCAAGTTCTTTCTGACTGCAGCCTTTGACATGCTCACCTCCCTTTCTCCATCACATCTATCGAAACTGTGTGACCACAGGTTTTTTCCTCCTTCCTTTTCTCTTGATGCTTTGGTAAGCTTTTACCTCCATTTGTCTTCCTATCTGGTCTAAACCCCTGACCCACATGCCAACTGAGCCAGACCCAGTAACCTGATGATCTCTTACCCCTCAGCCTGTGGCCATGCTGCTTTGCGGGTTTCTAATCCTAAAGACATCGGGTGATCCCTTGATGGGATGAACTGAGGGGATCATTCTTTCACTCAAACACCGATAAGATTCATGCCTCGTATGGAACCTCTTTCTGACTAATTCAGCCACATGCCTGTGAGCTCCGGGACAGGAATGATGGCACCACACCTGTTCCCCCAGTGCTCAGCCTGCGTTTGTGCGGTAGTCCGCGTCTGCAAACGTTGGTCGGATGGACCGTTCCTGCTTTGGCAGTGGCTTCTCCATCACTTTGGGCTAATACTTAGATTTAAAAAGCAATGTGTCTTCCCAGGGTAGGAGAATAATGACTAGAGAGAAGGAATAAAGGCGCCAGGGGGAGGGTATATATGCTTTTTAGGAAAAAAAAAATTTATGGCCATGTCAGAGCCAGGCTGCAGGCAGATGGCTGGAAAATTGTTTCTCCTAAATGCCAAGGGATATTCTGCCAGCATCCAGGTACTCTAGTGTTAAATAGGTTTATTTTAGTGGTGACGGTATAGCTTGGTGTCAGGTGATGATCTTGGCTGAAAGAAGGGAAAACACTGCATCTACACTGAAAGGAAAGAAATTCTATTTGTCTTTTTGCCTAGGGAGGGAAGGGGAGAGCAGGGGAGCGGAGGAGAGGAGCAGCCTCCCTCTGTAGCCAGTCCTGTGCTACTGGCTTTGACCCAGAGGCACTCATAGCAATAACCCAAGGCAGGTATCTGGTACAAAGCAGCTCACATTTACAACTCAATCCTTCCATCCAGGGGCACCCCTCAATTCACAGTCTCACTTTCAGGAGGAAGTGGGGGTAACTGTTTGCAATTCTGGAAGCAAAAAACCTAACAAATTACTACAGACGGTAGAGATATTTTTATTTTCACAGAGCAGAGGCAGCGTTCACTGGTTGGAGTCTGGGCCACAGCCACCCCTGTAGCTCCCCTCATGTCCAAGAGAGGCATGGCCTCACTACTGGGCACACCGGTCTCTAGTTGGAAGAACAACAAAGGCCACCAGGTAAGTGGGCAGAGCTCTCCCTCAGTGCCTGAGGGACCTCCACCAAGCCCTCCTCCGGAGAGAGCTCTGACAGCGTGCTTTCTATGAGCTCCAGGCTGGAAGAGGGACTTGAGGTCAGATTCAGGTGCAGGCTTCCTGCCCGTCACAGCCTCCGAGCCTTCCTGGGGCGGCAGCCGTTGTGCGGGATGGGGGTGTTGTCTGTGATTGAGATCACCTCCAGGCCCCCCATGGTCAGTCCCTTGATGGCAGACTGGAAGGAGCAGAAGGAAGAGTCGAATGGCACGGTCCCAGAAACGATGACCCCGCGTGCCCAGACAGGTTTGGAGAGGGACACGGTGGGGTGCGGCAGGGAAGAGAGTGGGGAGGCTCACTGGCTTTGACACCTGCAATCCCAGCCTCTTCTCTCACAGAGGTCTCCCAACCAAGCCCTTAACCAGGTCCTCAATGCTTCCCACTTCCCTAGTCGCACCTGCCACGGCCCACCGTGTGCTTTACAATCTAAGAACAACGGCTACTGTAAACCTCAACACATCTTAAGCATTAGGCTTCTGTAGATTCCTCTGCCTGGACTGTGGCCCCCCCACCCCCTGCAACCCCATACCACTCCTGGCTAATCCCTTGTCATTCCTGAAATATCAGTAGAGATGTCACTTCTTTGTGGAAGTGTTCTTGATCACACCCCATGGGCTCCCAGCACCCTGGGCACGAGCTTTACCACTGCACTCACTAGTCTGTACTGAGGGACACATTTGTGACAGTCCCCCAGGGACCACCTTTCTATTCATGATGCCTGGCATACAGCAGGCACTCAGTACGTGTCTGATGAACTGAGACTAAGTGATCAGGGCTTGCTTTGAGAAGCTTAGCAGATGAGAAGAGCAACTGAAAGAAACTTCAAGCTATCAGGGAAATCCACGACAGGGTCCACTCTCCCTGCTCTGCTCTCACCCCCACTTCTCTCACTGACTGGGCTGGGGAAAACCAAGGTCACTTACCAAGCGCCCTGGCCCCAGGCCTTTCACCACAACGCGGACGTGGGTCACACCCTTCCCTGTAGCTTTCTGGAGAGAAGTAGCAAGTGGTTAGTGCTCAAGAGAGTCAGAGAGAGGGAATGAAGGAGGGAGAACTGCCACCTGGAGCAACAGGGTTACGAGCCCCAGGGAACAGGCACCCACGCATGTAAACAGGCAGAAGACAGGGAAGGAAGCAAAGGACAGATGACTGCGGTGCAGGAGAGCACCGAACTTGTCAAGTCACAGATGTGAAGTCAGCTGTGATCCCTTTTAGCCCAGGACAGCACTGCCACCTAATGGAGACTTCTAAATATCACTCAGGTTTCTCTCAGGTGGGTAAATGCAGAATTTCAGAATGTAAGGGGCCCTGGACTCCAAGGCTAAGCCTCAATACCCACTTAAAAACGGTTATTTTATCTATTAAATCTTTATAGTTAAATTTTTCTTTCTTGATTATAAAGGCAGTTTATTACAGAAAGTCTAGGAAACACACAGAAGTCACTCTACGTACCTCAACACACTCAATGCAGAAGCCACTGTTAACACTGGCACATTTCTTTTACATATATATATATATAAACTGTCCATTGATGGCCATTTAGTGCATTTTGATGATCATTAGTACACAGCAGTAAGTACTTTCGGGCACTGAGCTTTGTTAGAAGGTCAAGGTTTTCTTTCATGAAACACTCCTGGTTTGGCGGAGTGTGGACCTTGGTGAGGCCTGTGCTACAGTACACAGTGCCCAGGCTCTGGTCCCAGACCAGGCGGGGTCATCCCAGGGAAGTGAACTGGCTGCGTGGCTCTGAGCAAGTCGCACTCTGAAATCCACTGACTTAAGAACGTGGGTAAGAGGACTTGAGGTAATAAATGTAAAGTGTCTGGCACATAGTAGGTGCTCGGTAAATATACCAACTGCAGCACACTGCCAAATGGCTTCTAGAAATGTTTGCAACAGCTCATGCTCAAACTTACTTGCATGAGAGTCTTCACCACACCACATCTTCTCCAGACAGGCAATTGCCGCCAACCCCCGACCCCACCCCACCGGTCTTTAAATTGAGGAGGCTTGGTAAGGGCTTCAGCACCTGGCTCTTGCCTCTTCTAGAATGAACCAAGTGCTTCACTTCTACTGAAGCTGAGAGAGAGAGAGACAAGGGAAGCCGTTTCACACAGGCCTCTTCAAAGCAGCCCCAAAGTTAGGGTATCCAACAAGAGCTGGTAATTATTCTTGGCTCTGAATGACTACTTTAAGGATGATTTTCCTCGCGGTGACCAGCAATGCAGATGGCGAAGCCCACCGGAGAGGGAGCCCGGGAAAAGCACACACACTCACCGCCGCGGCAGCTATGCCCGCTGTTTGCGCTGCGATGCCCGTCCCCTTCTTGGCATTCCGAAACCCCTCTGTGCCGCAGGAAGTGCGGGCAAGGGGCTGGTGCGTGGCAGACACCACCTGGATCTGTGTGCTGGGAGAGGAGGGAGGCATTCAGAATATAATGACTGTTCAGGGAAGTAAGAGAGCACTAACCTAAGCCCACACAAGCCCAAGTAGGAAAGAAGACTGTCAGATGCTTTCGCGAGGAGTTTATCAGATGAGTATTTTTGAACCACCGCAAGAGGTGTCGGGAAAGGTCAGGCTCAACCTCTAAACCGCATCAAAAACTGACAAGTCACATACTCTAAAGAGAGCTCTGTTACGGACAGAATGTTTGTGTCCCCCTCAAACCCATGTTGCATTTCTAACTCCTGATGTGATGGTATCTGGAGGTGGGGCCTTTGGCAGGTGATTAGGTCAGGAGGGTGGAGCCCTTATGAAGGGGATCAGTGCCTTGTAAAAGGGACCCCAGGGAGTTCCCCTGCCTCTTCCACTACATGAGGACAAAATGAAAAGCCAGCTGCCTGCAACTGGGAAGAGCTCTCACTAGAACCTGACCCTGTTGGCACACTGACCTCTGACTTCTGGTCTCCAGGATAGTGGGAAATAAATGTCTGCTGTTTAAGCCACCCAGTTGTGGTATTCTGTTACAGGAGCCTGAGCTGACTAACACAGCTCCATAATCTCCGAGCTGGGGATGGCCTGCAAAGATGTCAGCAAGGCTTCTGTCGCCAACACACAGTCAGGAAGTCTCCCTGCACCCATCTGAAAATGGGGAATGCTAACCTTCCACCCACGCTCAGCCCTGCGAGGCAGAGGTTGCTGCAGCTGCCCAAGGTGAGTACTTTAAAGCGATCTTTATTTGGAGGTTTGCTTAGTTTGCTAATAAATCATATTCTTAAATAATCTTGCTTATCTAGTAATCACCTATCCCCAGTACCAACACCTAACAAATACTTTCATGGAGGGACTCCAGCCCTAAAATATACACTATCCAACTTTTGAGCAGAACCAGGAAATACAATTCCAAGGAGAACAAAGAAATCTTATCAGTACAATATGCCCAACCTTCACATTTTCATGAAATCTGGATAAACTTTATAGAGAGAGAGGTGGGTTTCCCCAAACCAGGAGGGAGCCTGGGGGGAACCCCTGCATCAGCACCATCATGCAGAACGCGGCACCCTGACTTCCGCCCCAAGCACAGCGCCCAGGGCCAACCTGACTTGTCCTCCCCGCGAATGGGAAAGAAGCTCATGGAGACCTGCCCCCTTCCCCGCTTACTTGTTGTAGGATGCTTTAATGTGTGCAATTGGAATTTCCTCAAATTTCTTTCCTGCCCACCTCAGAGAGCTCTCCTGTCCTGGAACTGGAGGGTAAATGCTGCAATTAGAAAAAACATTTTAGGTAAAATTATCTTGATTAAAAAAAATTACATGTTTTTTAAAAAAATCAAACAGTACAGATGAACTCATAATAAAAAACGGTAGCCCTCCACCCGACCTGCTCCTACAGTCGCTGTCCCTGGTCCTTCCGGGGCTGCGGCCCGTCTTTGAGCACTGTGCTTCAGTGGCCGTTTCTCGAGTTGTTGACTCTAGACACAGCTAGTGACTTTCTGCAGGAGCAAAGAGGATTTAACCCACATTCCCCATCTTCCCTGTCCCTTCTAGTATCATCAGATCACTATTTTCAGTCTTCTATAGGCTACTCTTCCTGCAATTAAATAAAGGCAACCCTCTATTTCTTGTTTCAACAACCACAGATATCTTGACTCTCTACTTTATCAAAAAAAGACAAAATAATCTTAATAATACTTACAATAATATGATTGTAAAAAAAGAAAACCCATTACTGCCTGGAATAGAGATCAGCAAACTCTCTCTGTAAAGGTCCAGATGGTAAATAGCTTAGGCTTTGCTGACCATGAAGTCACAGCTACTCAACTTTGCCACTGTGGTGCGAAAACAGCCACAGACAACGGTGAGTTAATGGGTGTCACTATGTCCCAATAAAGCTCTATTTAGAAAACATGGGCAACTGGCCAGATGGGGACGGGGCTCAGCTTGCCAACCCCTGGACCAGTGGCTGTCCCCCCGGGCTGAACAGCAGAATCAAGTGATTCTGATGTTTAAGCTCCACTGCAGACTTCTGGATGGGACCCGGGAAGTATCCATTTTGAAATAGCCAAGGTGAACGCAGGGTTCAGCACATGGCCAAGGCACCGTGTTGAGTTCAAGATCTGTCTCTGTCTCAGTCAGATCTGTTCTCTGGCTATCTCCAGGTCAGAACTCTTCACTTTCAGGTGGAGAAACTGAGGACAAACAGGGCAACAAGGTTAGCAAGGGAAGCCAGGCCTTGGGCTGAGGGGACTTGCCTAGGTTCAGAGCTCTGCTCACCACCTGTGCTTTCTTTTATTCACAC